GATGTGGAAAGAGTGGTGGTAGTGACAACAACTCTCTTGTTACTCTCTTCTCTCCTATGAGTGATAATGACTCATAAGAGTATGTATTGGTTCCACCCATCCTTGTTATTGATTGTAAAGGATAAGGAATGATGTATTTTTTATTATCCCTTTTATGTTGATGCTTTGATTGTCAGGTCTAGTGTCAATGATTGTATATGTTTGTTTATGGTGCACACTTTATATTGATGTTGTTGGGCCATATCTCACTTTTTTACTTGGCTAGTAGGTTTTAGATGTTTATGTTTGGTTAGTTTTTAAAGGTGACCAATAATTAGATCATGTAAATTTTTACTTACACTTTTTCACTTTTTATATATGAATGAAAAAATACATATGTTAAAAAATAAAAACAAAAAAGTATGCCTAACTTTTTATACTATTAACAACAAGAATGTATGATTATTACTCTAATTGTTTGAGTTAAATAAAGGATTAATGTTTGAATCCTATGGTATTGCAAATTAGGGGTGAAAAAAAGGCATGTTAGGATCAATTTAGTTTTGTCTTTCCCCAACTTGAAAAATTGTTTGGTTTATTTATTTAAACTTGAATTTGACTCAACCAAGACCTGAAATAGATGGATAGGATCAGGTCAATTCGGTGTATTAACTCAATAAATCAACATTAACATATGTATAGTCAAATTATGAAATAAAAAAGATATAAAACATAAAGTAAGGTATATTTTATGGTATATATTTTAAAATAAATAATGTCATTATAAATATAACATAATGTTATACAAAGTATTATTGATTTAAAAAGTTTTATTATTAATAATTATTCTAAGACTTTATACATTTTAAAAGAATGAAAGACGAGTTGGGACGACTCAAAGCGTAACTTGAATTTGTCCTAAAATTTATATTAGGTCTAAATTTAAGATCTGAACTTCTTAAACCACAAGTGTGAATATTCTTCCTTAGTTATTTTGACATGATTTTTTTTGCCTATTTTATAGACACTAGCCTATTGAAACTTTATCCATATTAATCAAGAGTAGGGATTGTAACGACCCGCCTTAGGTCGCCATATCAAGAACCAACTAAACAACACACAAGAATAATATAAAATAAAGAAAAAAAAGCAAATGATAGCTACACTAGACTGGAAATATTTTTAAAACATAGAAATTGTTTTCATCATATAAAACATAACTTTATAAAGGAGTTATCATTAGTAAGTTTATACAGTCATCCAAAAAGATAATATATATAATTACAGCATCATGAAGACATCAAAATAAGACACCCTAGGTGTTGGTCAAGCTCTAAGTCTAGCCATTTCTCAAAATAGCTACCCAAAAGACTCATTTCCATCCCAAAGCCTCATGCCTGATCTACTCCCCCACATAGTGAGATCATCACAATCCACATCATGGAAATATAAGAGTTAGCACGTATAAAACCAACCATAGTACAACATAATGAAATATCATCAACATAGATATTCATCAACAACATTTATCCATACCAAGGGAATGACAACATTATTACAATGTCTATCTCCATGCCAATATAAACCAAATCCAAATTCCAATGTATACACGTCCATACCAATGCATACATAATCTATAATAATAAAGAATCCATCACCAATGTATACAATCCATACCAAATGCATACATATTCCATATCCAAACCAACGTCACACCACTGTATAATCCCATGAAGTAGCCAACACATCCAAACCAAATGTTGGCCTCAACACATCCAAACCAAGTGTTGAATTTGTGGACATGTCACCTGCCCAGGTCACACACCTAACCTCTCATGGAAAATATACAGTTGGATTACATCGTCATGTAACCCTGGTGATCCTGGCCACTTCATCCATCGATATGACTCGGCCATGCTCCCATACCGGTAGCAAATAGAATGCTTAGAGGAGTACTTCAGAATCCATCTAACATCTGAAGTGCTTTATTATATAATATTTGGAAAAGTTTCATATTGGAATCCTCACCATGGGACTCCCAAATTCTATATTTTCCCAAAGATTATATCCAGATCTCACCAAGAGATCTCTCAATCCATACCATAACCTTACTCCTCTAAGTCCTATTAGTTTTCCAAACCAAACACACATAAGCACATTCCATAATGACATGCAATCTTTTCCATAACCATGCCACATTCCATACCAAATATATAACATCAAAAGATGATATAATTCAACATTTAAAAGTTTCATAAAAACTCAATTATAAAAGGTTTCCTCAAAGAAACCACGCGCCCAGCACAGTAGTATTTGTGCCCAGTGCAACTAAAACTAAGAGCCTATCAGGCTTTGCCCGCTCAGTGCGTCACCACGTGCGCTCAACCCATGGCTATATGCACTCAGCGCGTAGACTCGTGCGCTTAGCGCGCTTGAGACAGAGAGCCACTAGAAGCAGCCCGCTCAATGCGTAGACCCGTGCACTCAGCCCATGGCTAAATGCGCTCAGCATGCTCTAGACAGAAAGCTTTGTTTTTCAATGCGCTCAACGCGTTGTCGCGTGCGCTCAGCGCGCATACATCAGACAGCGCGTCAAAAGTTTGAAAACTCCGATTTTCACCCCCAAAATCCATCCCAAATGAATCCCAAACCAAATTTACACAATTCCGAACCATTATAGAGTATAAACACCATCCAAAAACAACATATTAAGTGATAAAAACAAGTATTAACCATTAATCCATGAAAATCATAGGAAATCATGAAGAACCCTAACCAAGTCCTCTCCAGCTCAATCCAACCTCAATCATGCGTAAAACATGGAATCAATGTGATATTTCAACTCCATACATACTAGATTAAGTCTTATAAGTACTACCCTTACCTTAGAAACCTCAGAAATACAAGGTTTGAACAAAACCTTCAAATCCCAACTCAAACTTCGATCCTATTTTTCAAGGCTTTAGAGACCAAATACCTTGAAACTCTAGTTGTGAAGATTGATCCTGGCTTGATAAACTTCCAAAATGTATCCTCAGCTTCCCCCTAGACCAGAGCTTCTCTCTCTACTTCCTCTCTCTAGAATTGTCTCTGTCTAACAAATGAAATCCTCCGGTCCTAAGTCCCTATATATAGCCATTTTCCAAAATTTCCAAATTTCACCCTTAGCACCTATTCACCTCAAATATCCTATTCCTTGAAGTATTTCAACTCCCTAAGCTCTAAAACAAATTCAAATTCACTCAGAAAGACCAGATTTATCTTATGTTCCTATCCTCCAATTCCCTACCATTCTTATTCCTTTCTATGCAATACTCACAACTCACCACCATATGAAATGCAACATGTATCAACATACAAATAAACATCACCTTCAGATACATATGCTTGGAATAATGAGTTGCATGCCATAATACTTCACTTAACTAAGATGAGAAGGAAAGTGATCAGTCTTCTTCCCTCTTAGTACCAATTCAGTATAATGGTGTACAATGCATCATTCACCACACTGATGCATACACATGCATATATAAACACCTCAAAACAACGATATCTCGTTCTATACTGCAAAATCACTTCTATGTCCAAACAATTAATCAAAACCACATAAATATACAATATGCACAAAGATAAATACATTTCAAATCCACACCTCCAGAATCCAAATCCAAATCCATATAAACAACATACACATACATACACACACATACACACACACACATATATATATATATATATATATAAAGTATATCTACCAAATAGCCCAATATTTCCATGACATTACAGGGATAGGCCAAACAAAAAATACAACTTAGCCTATTTATTACCAAGGTTGGGTTTAGACTCTTCAAAAGATCCTTTTAATTAAAAATAAATAAAAAATTTGATTTTAGACTTTAAAAAATCTATTAAATATATAAGTCAACCTATTTAAAATATAAAATAATATTAAATATTAGATACTAATTTATAATTAATATTTTATATTTAATAAACAACTATCGATAATAATATATTTAATACTTAGACTTACAAATTTGTTGACCTACCTAGACTTATTGACTTATTTATAAATCTCCAATAAAATAGATAATGTAAACAAACTTCAAATTAGACTTAAACTTACTAATTTTTTTTTTAAGTCAAGTTTAAGCTAATCAAAGTTTGATTTGATTTAATTTATTTCCATTCTTAATAATAATCGTAATGCATGACTAAGGTGTGGAGAGCTTCCTAAATCTCTATCACCACCTTCGAGATTGCCATATGTCCAAAGCTACTTTAGGCTAGGCTTTAATTGAACCTTGACGATTCTTCCACTACGCAAGATACAAGGTAGTGGATTCTAAAACTTCCTTATGAATACGATGTCTTGTTCTTGGGTACCCTTTTGATTCATCTGGAAATCAAGATGTAGTTTCAATTTTTAGAATAAAATTTGTCCCCACTCATGTTATTAATGTTATTTACGCTATGATGCATGATATAAAGTGTACCTTCCATCTCCATTCTAGGAAGGCTAGTACACCTTGCATGGTTTCTTGGTCTCCCCTAGCAACAATTTTCCAGCTCTAAAATATCGATAGTAATGTTTTGGGTAAACTTAAGCGAGTTAGGTTTGGTAGCATTGGTCATGTTAGTTTGGGTAAATACGTTTATGGCTTTGCAAAATTCACTAGTCAACATGATGTTATATATGAAAGCTTAAAAAAAGGACATCGACAAAGGATTTCAACTTGTGTGGAATCTGGAGTTTCTAAAGGTTGTAGCCTTTTTCAACTTTGCTAATGCAATATTGTTGATTAATCAACTGAACTAACTTCTACATTATGTGGGTTTGGTTAGAATCATTTAAAAGCTCCTTAATTACGATTAAGTTGTGTAGCTTAATCGCACTTCGAGAGAAGGAAATTTTTACATCAAGAAAAGTGTCCCCACATAGTTAAGAATGGGTTTGTTGGACAAGTCCCACTCTAGACAGATTGCCCACTCTTGATAGTGAGATTTAACATTTACGTATTTAACATTTCTCTCTCTCTTTTTCCTTTATGTAAAAAACAAAAAAAGGAGATAAGAATTGTTAAAATTTTAAATTCTTTATAATTCTCAAATACTTTATCCAAACATATGTTAATATTTTCTTATTTCGAACTTATAACTTTATAAAATTAAGATCATAAAACTTAAATTTTCAAATGATTATAAAAACACACTAAAATAAACTCATTGGAAACAAGTTTTTGTGACTATAGACTATAGTCCTGATAAAAAAATATATATATATATATATTTTTCTTACATAGAAATTATGGATCGTTAATTTCACCCTTAACATAAATTTACACGAAAGAATATAAAATATGAGAAAGCAGAATTTGATCTTCTAACTAATGAAAAAGAAAAAAATTGAATCAATTGTGTGAGCCTCGTAGAGCATCATTTACTATATGGATGAGTTTTAACATGTTTATGTATGAAAAAAGAAGAAAAGCAAAAGAGCGAAATCTGAAATGAATTGATTTCATGTGACGAATCTAGATGGGCTTTGACTTTGATTACCATACGTTAACTCTGTGAGTGCCACATGTTGATGTCGGTAAGGCAAGGGAATAGGAAGGTAAACAAATAATAATTAGTTATGTGTTGACGTGTTGTTGTTCTTGTTCTTGTTCATCATCACCCGCCACTATCACTCTCATAAACACATTGTCTTCTTATCCAACCAATTCTCTCTGCATTCCACATGGAGGGTATCATCAAGGGCTTAATCGACGTCGCTATCGGCCCCGATCACGCCGATCGGGAAGAGGAACGCGGTGATCGCTCCTGGGCTGACCTTGTCTCCGGCGATCCCCATCAGGTTCCCATTTCCACAATGCCAATTCAATTTTTCAACTTATTTTTTTTCAAGGAATGGATTTTCATTTTTCATGTTTCATTTTTGCAGGATCAACCGCCTTCTCATCAGCATCAGCAACAATGGTCCAACCCACCTCGCAAGGTCACATTTTTTTGGTTTTTATTATCAATTCCGCACAAAACAAAAACAAAGAATGTGATGTTATTCGTTAATGTTTTCATCATTATAGGAGGAAACATGGCAAGAGGATGGTCACAGTTACAGGGCTTCCAACAGGCCTCATCATGTCAGTGTGAATCAATCACTTGTCTAATATATCATATATTTGCTAAGCTATTCATGTAATTCTATGTAACCGCTTTCGTTATATTGTGTTTTTATATATTCAGGAACAATATCGTCCTGAACACGATGAGTGCCAATCCGAAAATTTCAATAGTTCTAACAAGGTAACCCTCCCCTCTTAGCTTCAAGTTAAAGTTGCAATTTTAGCACTTTGAACAGTCATGTGACATGGATGCAGCATAGCTTCCCTTAGCTTTAAAGGGATCATCACTAACTTTATTCATCTGCCAAATACCAAGATTTGTGTTGGTTCGGTTGTTAACCTTCATGTTCTTATCTGCATAATTGATAGTTACAGGATAAAAGATCATATCTATTTTTTTTTTTAATCTGCTTGTTGTTCTCTGCAAAGAATTAATTGGGGGTTTTCATATGAATCACATTTGGTTAAATCTTTATTTTGGACCACGATTGAATCTGTTTCTCCATTTCTGTGGTACTTTAACCAATTCTGGTACTTGAGATAAATCATATTGATATTTGATCCTTTAACCAATTTGTTCATTGATTCATTACAGAAGTGAGATGGTTCTTTTTCATTAGATCACTAGGGTCATTTGTTATACTGGCATTACTCAATGATACTTGGTGTATAATACAGTCGTGGTATCATGTTTACATTTTGATTCTGCCATGGCCATTGCTCAATATGTACAAAATCCAAGCTCTTGTTGTCTTGCTGGTGGATCTTATGGCCATTCTGCTGGCACTTGCCTTGATTCAAATTTATCTCTACCTCTTTGCATACAATTTAAGATTGTTGTTGGAGAAAAACCTAGAAGAATTTTTTTAATTTTATTTTTCAATTTATGTACAAGATAAATGTTCCAGTGAACTGGGTAGTTGAGAATCTGGCTTCGTGAGAGCATGGTAACATTGAAAATGTTACGAAAGTTTGGTTATTGGACACTGTGTTTTACTTATTTCAATGTAATGAAGTATATGATAGGGAGATTATCTATTAAAAGTTAACTATTTTGGTGAGATTCAGTTTTTTTTTTTTTACAGCTGGATGAAGATCAAGATGGATGGCAGACTGTTGGCAAATCTTCAAGGCATAAACACAAGGTTTATCTTTTAATTATAATCAATATGCCAAATGAAAAAACTTATGGTGTTATTTCCGTCGTGTGTTCTACCATTTTAAACAAATTGTATTATGTTAATATATTGCTGTTACAGGTATATCTTCTTTGCATTGTACTGTATGTAAACTTTGTCACCGAGTTTGTTATCAAATCTGTTTTGCTTTTGCATGCTTTATGCTCCACCCCTGTCTAAGTCTGAATGATGGATCTTACCAACTTGATGTAGGTTCCAAAAGAAAACTGGAACAGCTATAAACGACCTCCTGATGAGCAAGAATACTCTAATGAGGTAGAATTTCGTGCTGGTGTGGAACCCTCGGAAGATGAACTTGCTGATCTTTCAAGAGCTTGTGAAAAACTGTGGCATCTTGATTCAAATCGTTTGACACCTAACAAAGACTACGAAATTGACTGTGGTGAAGGCAAAAAGGCTTACCAAAAGGAAGATATGGCACAGGGGAGCTTGTTTACTTGGGTTAATGATGATGTATTCAGAAAGCCTACTTTTGCTCGTTTTCTTTCTCTTTTAGATAATTACAATCCACATCAAGGATGTAAGGAAGTAGTCACATCTGAAGAGAGACAAGAACAAGCTTCTTTCATAGAAGAAATCAGTAGAACAGCCCCAATTAAATATCTTCACAGGTATCTTGCTTCCAAAGGAATTGTATCAGAGAGTTACCAAGAATTCAAAAGAATGATGACCAATCTGTGGTTTGACCTTTATGGCCGTGGTGGCACTTCTGGTTCCTCTTCTGCTTTTGAACATGTTTTTGTTGGAGAAATCAAACAAGCTGGAGAAGTTTCTGGCTTTCATAACTGGCTGCAGGTGTGACCTCTTACTTTTCTTTCTTCCTGTTTGAATATATCTATTTACAGTTCATGTCGAATTGAAGGTGTATTAAGAAGTCATATTTGGTTCTCCTTCCAACCATCATTCTGATATACCAATCTCACTGGCTATCCAATTACTATTGACATGTTTGTTTTATCATTGAGTTTTGTTGAACAGGAAAAATACAAATTCCAAAGTACCAAATTAAGAAGTAATTTTTTTTTTATCTTTTCCATTAAATGGGATTATGTGGGTTTCCAATGGGAAACCAAACACACGTGTATTGTATTATTGGGGATTAGTTTGCCACTTTGCTGTTGTAAAATCCAGTGTTATTGTTAACATAGCTCCTTGTTGAATACCTTCAAAGTTGAAATTTCTATGAATACTTGCAATAGTCTTTTGTAGTCAATAATTTTCCCAAAGACATGCTATATCTACAAGTACTTATTCAGACCAGTAGTTTCTTTGCTATTTTATCTTTTGCTCATAACTTTTTGTAGTGCTGCTTTCCAAAAATATTGTCTGGTTATCTTGGAGTCAATAATCTATTAAATGAGTAGATGAGCAATTTTGTTTCTTTGATTTATAATTTGAATTTATCTTGCCATTTTAGGAATTATTTTTTTTATCTCACCTGTTGATGTATTCTGGCAGTTTTACCTTGAAGAAGAAAAGGGGAGAATTGATTATCAAGGCTATATTTTACCCCGTCGACGGGGAGAATTTGTGAGTAACTATTTGTTAAACTTATTTTATTGGCAATAATTCCAAGCATGGAAATGAAATTTTGGTGCACCAAACACAGGAAAGTAATAAACACGTGCACTAGCTAGAAGACATCAAAGCACGTGGAGAATATTTTTCATCAACAACAAATTATTTCTCCAACACAATGAGAGCCTTAATTACAAACTTTCATTCATCTTTCTGTTTTATTTCATATAATTGCTTTGCTTCAGTCATTTTAGTTAGTAGGTAAACATGTGTTATAGTTTGCGCTGTAACCACCTGATTTCTAATGTTCTTTGCCTCTGTAATTTGCAGCCTGACTCTGAAACCCAGCTTCTGACTATTCAGTTTGAATGGAATGGTGTTCTGAAATCTGTTTCAAGCACTTTGGTTGGAGTGAGTCCTGAATTTGAAATTGCGTTGTACACCCTGTGTTTCTATGTTGGCGGGGAGGATAACCACATTCAGCTTGGCCCTTATGAAGTTAACATCAAGTGCTATCGTTTAGGCAATCGAATTGGATCTGTTTTCCCCATTGCAGATTCTTGAATTTTCAACAATGGTAATAGTTGTTTGCAATGAAATTGTTTGTTATGAATACTTGATAACTTGTCGTTCATAGATGAAAAGGCAACAATATTAATTAGAACAAGTAGTACAAGGTAGCACAATATTTACAGAAGTACATTTGATGCCTCTTTTGTCTTGGATAAAGATGAATTATTGTGGAACTAGTCTGCTTCTTTTTTCTTAATTTACTCCTCAACGATAAGTTATTATCTGGTACTAATAAAATCTCAGATTTTGCTAGCTTGCGTAAGCTTAGAGGGGGATACATGCATCATACATTAACATTGAGATACAGCCAAGGATCACCAAGATTTCCTTCTTAGATATTTTTTATTTGTGTTGTAAAGGAAATCCCTACCATGTTTTTCGAAAATATCTAGCAAAGTCTCGAGATATTTTTTGAAAAGTGTTTAATTAAGACTTGTGTAAATTGCACTCCACTATCAAGATTTATTTAAATGAAATTAAACTCTACACTTATTCAAATATAACACTTTACCCCATTTGTATAAATTCACTAACAGAATTTCAAACAGCTATTCGAAGTTAACAAGTTGATTAACATTAATAAAATGTCAAATATTTTATATTCACTGTATTTGCTTTCTTTTTTATCATATGACTACATGCTTCTGGATTTTTTTTTTATTGTTGAGTTTTTTTTTCCTATTGCTAGCAGGTTATGAATTTTGGTATCTCTTTTTTTTTTTTTTGTGTAAAGTATGCTAAGAGACTAATATGCTCCTTGGCATCTTTTTAGAACAAAAGATATGATTCAAAAGCTTAATTTTAAAAAATAAATATAAAAAAGAAAAAAGTACATTTTAACATACTTTAGTAATAAACATATTTCTTTGTTGTTTAAGAATATGAAAGATTGATATAAATCACAATGTCTAATATATGATAATATAATCAAAAACACCTAATTTGATCTATTATAATAATTAATAGTTTCAATTTCATCTCTCTATAATTTTTTTGTTTCAATTTGGTCTCAAATAATTTAAAAAAATGTCAATGTCGGACTTTCTGTCCAAATTTCACAAATGGTGTTAAATGTGATGACGTGGATGCCACGTAGATGCATAAGTGGCATGCCTCCTCTCCCCCTTCTTTAATGACCTGGAACGGCCCGTTATGAAACCAGAACGCCTCGTTCCGCTTGCATTCTTTATGTGTTAATTTTGCATCTGGAACGGCCCGTTACAGATGCAAATGTAACACACAACGAGTGAATCAGAACGGCTCGTTCTGGTTCCAGAACGGGCCGTTCCAGAACGCCAACCAGGATTAATGTTTAAATTTAAGTGTTACATTTCAACAAAATATTCAACAAAATGCAGCAATGTGGTTCAAAGATTGAAAACAAAAATTCATAACATAACATAAACTCAAATATTAAAATATGCACCAGAGTTGATCTTCTCATCCCTATTTTTCATCGTTACCCATATAAATAAGAGTTAATCATCCCTACACTACGAATGTAAAGTTTTTTATACTGACAATCAATCATATCTTTTAAAGTTGCTTATTTTATTATTATTTCATTAAATAAGCAACTGACATGTCACTATTAAAATATATGATTGGTTGCCAGTGTAAAAAAATTTCACTGACAGTGTATAGGTGATTAGCTCTATAAATAATAAATCAATTAAGCGTAGTTTACTGTTTGAGTCGTCACGACCTAGAACAATAGATACAATAAACCTATGCATAATTCTAATGGCAGTGTAACGAAATCTAGATGAATTGCATTTACCAGCCTCCTATTGTGTATGACCTGTTACAACCCTCCAAAACATGTATGAATTAAATGATCTTGGATTTTTTTCCTATGGTCTGAAATCCAAAGATACCATTAAATTCCTCCAAATTAAGACGATACTCTATATTAAAAATTTTAAAGAAAATCAATCCTAGTTCACAATTTGCCTTGGTCAAAATTTGAATATGGAGAGAACTAAGAAATTTAAGAACAATCCTTGGATCTGGAACGGCCCGTTCTGGTTTCAGAACGGGCCGTTCCAGGTCATTAAAGAAGGGGGAGCGGAGGCATGCCACCTATGCATCTACGTGGCTTTCATGTCTTCACATTTAACACCGGTTGTGAAATTTGGACAGAAAGTCCGACATTGACATTTTTTTAATTATTGGAGACCAAATTAAAACAAAAAATTATAGAGAGACGAAATTGAAACTATTAATTATTATAAGAGACCAAATTAGGTGTTTTTTCAATAATACATAGAGGAGGGTAGATAGTTGATACATAATCAAAATTAGACATTGGAAATTAATTTTTCATCATGCTTTAGAAATAAATATGCAAATGAATTTAGATTCTAAGACGCCAAATGTTATATCATATGTGAACTATCAAAAGGTAGATTACTTTGGTAGGATCGGTAAAATCTAAAAAAGAATAAATATTAATAGGAAAAATCAAAGAAAAGAGAATATATATATATATATATATATAACTAAAATATATA